CGAGGGCCGGGCCCCCCGCCCAGCATGGACCAGACCATCCCGACAGGGGCAACTGCCAGGTGCGCCTGCAGAGGTCAGACCCGAGCGCGTCGGGACAGGACGCCACCACGCGCTCAGACTTTTGCGGGAGGCTCGCCCACCTCCGCTGCACGGCAGGCTTGTTCCAACGACCTGCCCACAGTGCCGCGCGGAGGGGACGCCAAGCCTGCCCTTTCAGGAAGCGCGTAGCCACCACGGCGTGAATCCAGGAGGGCACGCGGCCCCAGCCCGCGACGCCAGCGCCCAGGCCGCCCCAGATTACAATGGGTTTCGGAGCTACGCGCGAGGCGAAAAACCACCACCACGGGATGAGCGCTCTGCTGCCGAAGCCTCGGCCCACCGCCCGAATCCCCCGAAGTGCCAGACAGCCACTTGGAATGGCCCCCAGGGATCGCAGCACGAGATAACTTCGGGAGGATCACGCAGTGGCTAGAGTCATAGCTTCGCCCGCGCTGCGGGGCGCGCTGCACTGTCGACGCGAGATGCGCGCGAGGTGCCTTAAGCTGGGCACGTGGGCCGCGGAAGCCAGCACGGCCGAAGGCGAATGGAGGTGCTGTTTGCGTGAACCAGACGCCTGGACCAGAGAAGCGCCTGCTGCCCCACAGGCCGCCGCAGCCGACGCCCCGCCACCAGACCCCCTGGCAGGGCAAGAGCGAGCCGCCGCGAGGCCGCCACAGCACAGCCATTTCGCCGGCTGGACCCCACCGCAAGCGCCCCTCCAGGCACGCACCAACTCGGCAGTGCACGTGCCCCTGCTGCCGGCGGCCGCCGGGCTTTTAGACAAGGGGCGCCGTGGAGGGAGCACCGGCCAAGAGGACCACCACGACCACCACGACCGGCACCACCACGACCACGGCCAGCAAGACCACGGCCAGCACGACCACGGCCAGCACGACCAGCACCACCACCACCACGACCAGCACGACCACGGCCAGAGGACCACCACGACGACCACCACCACCAAGACCAGCACCACCACGACCACGGCCAGCACCACCACAGCGACCGGCACCACCACGGCGGCCAGCACCACCTCGACCAGCACCACCACGACCAGGAGGACCACCACGGCGACCAGCGCCACCACGGCGACCAGCACCACCACGGCGACCAGCACCACCACGACCAGCACCACCACGGCGACCGGCACCACCACAGCGACCAGCACCACCACGACCAGCACCACCACGACCAGGAGGACTACCACGACCAGCACCACCACGGCGACCAGCACCACCACGGCGACCAGCACCACCACCACGACCAGCACCGCGACTACGCACCACCACGGTGACCAGCACCACCACGAGCAGCACCACCACGACCAGGAGGACCACCACGACCAGCACCAACACGGCGACCAGCACCACGACAAGCGCGACCACGGCCAGGAGGAGCACTACGACCACCACCACGACCAGCACCACGGCGACCACGACCACCACGACCACGGCCAGCACGACAAGCACCACCACCACCACGACCAGCACGACCACGGCCAGAGGACCACTATGACCACCACCACCACGACCAGCACCACCACGCCCACGGCCAGCACCACCACGGCGACCGGCACCACCACGGCGACCAGCACCACCACGACCAGCACCACCACGACCAGGAGGACCACCACGGCGACCAGCACCACCACGGCGACCAGCATCACCACGGCGACCAGCACCACTGCGACCAGCACCACCACGACCAGGAGGGCTACCACGACCAGCACCACCACGGCGACCAGCACCACCACGACCAGCACCACCACGGCGACCAGCACCACGACTACGCACCACCACAGCGACCAGCACCACCACCAGCACCACCACGACCAGGAGAACCACCACGACCAGCACCACGACCAGCACCACCACGGCGACCACCACCACGACCAGCGAGACCACGGCCAGGAGGACCACCACGACCACCACGACCGGCACCACCACGACCACGGCCAGCACGACCACGGCCAGCACGACCAGCACCACCACCACCACGACCAGCACGGCCACGGCCAGAGGACCACCACCACTACCACCACGACCAGCACCACCACGCCCACGGCCAGCACCACCACGGCGACCAGCACCACCACAGCGACCAGCACCACCACGACGAGCCCCACGACAAGGAGGACCACCACGACCAGCACCACCACGGCGACCAGCACCACCACGGCGACCAGCACCACCAAGACCAGCACCACCACGGCGACCAGCACCACCACGACCAGCACCACTACGACCAGCACCACCACGACCAGGAGGACCACCACGACCAGCACCACCACGGCGACCAGCACCACCACGGCGACCAGCACCACTACGACCCGGCGACCAGCACCACCACGACCAGGAGGACCACCATGACCAGCACCAACACGGCGACCAGCACCACCACGGCGACCAGCACCACCACAGCGACCAGCACCACCACGACCAGCACCACCACGACCAGCACCACTACGGCGACCAGCACCACCACGGCGACCAGCACCACTACGACCAGCACCACCACGGCGACCAGCACCACCAGGACCAGGGGCAGCACGGCGACTAGCAGCACCACGACAGCAGCCAGCAGCACAGAGGAGGAGGAGGCGGCGGCGGCGGCGGCGGAGGCGGCGGAGGAGACGCTGGCGCTGGCCCGAGGCAGCGCGGCGGCGCGGAGGGCGAACGCACCGCCGCGAGGCGCAGCGCCGCCGCAGGTTCGCGCACGGGCAGAGGGGGGAGGATTCAGCCCTCCTAAGCCACAACCCTCTGCCCAGCGACCTGCGGCGGCGGGCGCGGCGACCAGCGGCGGCAGGACCGGCGGCGAGGCGCGGCGGCCTGCGGCCGACCTGCGGCAGGCGGCGACGGGCCAGGCGCCGCGGCGAAGCGCGGCGGCCGGCGGCGGCGCGGCCGCGCGGAGGCCGAAAGCTGCGCCGCCAGCGCCGCCCCGAGGGCGGCGGCGGCGGCACGGGCTGGCGGCGGCAGGCCCGGCGGCGCGGCGCTGCGACGAGCGGCCGGCCGGCGACAGGCGGCGACGGGCCGGGCGCCGCGGCACAAGGCGCGGGCTGGCGGCGGCGGCTGGCGGCGGCTGGCCGAGGGCGCCCCGGGCGCTCCTGGGGCGCCGAGGGGCTTGGGGCAGCTGAGCGGGAGGCCCCCCGCGGGGCGGCTAGCTGGCGGGAGGTTCGGGGTTGCCCTGGCTTCGGCCGAAAACCCCCCGCTCCTTCGGGGCGCGCCCCCGCCCCACACTCACCGTGGGCGCGCGGGGGGTCCGCACTGGCCGCTAGGGGACGCGGCAGCCTTGGGGCAAGGAAGGGAGGGGGGGGGGGGGGAAACAAACAAAAAAAAAAAAAAACGCCTCGCGCAGGCCTAGTGGCAGCCGACGGTGGAGACGTTGCGGCTTGCGGAACCTGCACCAACAGGGCCCTTCGTCCAAATGCCCGCGCACACCGACGCCCGGCCTGGGAAAGCATCAGCAGTGCTTGCTGCAGACAGAGGAAACCGCCCAGGGCACGCATTCTCTGCGCCAGTCGCCCAGGCCTTGGCGCACAGCAGCACAGGCTACATACAGCCGCTAATGCAAGACCTCCCCCTCGAAGCAGTCGGCGGACGCGTGCTTGCACGAGGAGTTTACGTACGCGCTGACGAACTGCGCAGCCCAGCTCTGGGCAGACGCTGCGCCTCCGCCGCCACCCCCACCGCCAGAGGCGCCCCCGGAACCGGAACCGCCTGGAGACCAGCAAGCGAACGGCCCCGCCGCCGGGGCGGGCGGAGACGCTCCCGGAGACAGAAGAAGGGGAGGCGCCAGTGAACGCAGACGAGGAAGAGGCGTCAGGAGGCCGAGGCGGCGGAGGACGGGAAAGAGGAAGCCCGAAAAGCGGCAGCAACGGCGGAAACGCGGGCGCGGAGGAGGGAGACGCCGACGACGGCAACAGCAACTCCAGCGAGAGCAACTCCGTCGTCGTCGTCGTCGTCGTCGTCGTCGTCGTCGTCGTCGTCGTCGTCGTCGTCGTCGTCGTCGTCGTCGTCGTCGTCGTCGTCGTCGTGGTCGTCATCGTCGTCGTCGTCGTCGTCGTCGTCGTCGTCGTCGTCGCCGCCGTCGTCGTCGTCGTCGTTCGTCGTCGTCGTCGTCGTCGTCGTCGTCGTCGTCGTCGTCGTCGTCGTCGTCGTCGTCGTCGTCGTCGTCGTCGTCGTCGTCGTCGTCGTCGTCGTCGCGTCGTCGTCGTCGTCGTCGTCGCCGCGCCGCGCCGCCGCCGCCGCCGCCGCGCGCGCCGCCGCCGCCCGCCGCCGCCGCCGCCGCGGTCGTCGTCGTCGTCGTCGTCGTCGTCGGTCGTCGTCGTCGTCGTCGTCGTCGTCGTCGTCGTCGTCGTCGTCGTCGTCGTCGTCGTCGTCGTCGTCGTCGTCGTCCCGCCGCCGCCGCCGCCGCCGCCGCCGCCGCGCCGCCGCCGCCGCCGCCGTCGTCGTCGGCGTCGTCGTCGTCGTCGTCGTCGTCGTCGTCGTCGTCGTCGTCGTCGTCGTCGTCGTCGTCGTCGTCGTCGTCGTCGTCGTCGTCGTCGTCGTCGTCGTCGTCGTCGTCGTCGTCGTCGTCGTCGTCGTCGTCGTCGTCGTCGTCGTCGTCGTCGTCGTCGACGTCGTCGTCGTCCTCGTCGTCGTCGTCGTCGTCGTCGTGCTGCTGCTGTCCGTGGTGCTAGTCGCCGTCGTGGTGGCGGTGTTGCTGGTCATCGTCGTCGTCGTCATCGTGGTGGCGCTGTTGGCGGTGCAGCTGGTCGCCGGCGTGGTGGTGGTGGTGCAGCATTTCACCGTCGTGGTTGTGACCCTCCTGGACGCTGTCGTGGCAGTGGCGCTCCTGGTCGTAGTCGCGGTGCTGTGGCGGTGGTGTTCGTCGTCCCCGGCCCTCGCGCCGCCGGGGGCCGCCTGCTTTAGGGGCGCACCGGCATGCGACTAGGGACTGGGGCGGGCTTCGGCGCGGCGCACGTCCGCAAGGACGTCTTGCAACCGGGGTTCGTCGCCATCGCAGGCGAGGCCGTCCAGGGGCAGGTGCACCAGAGAGGCTGCGAAGGCCCGCTGCGCCGCCACCGAGGTGCGGCCTGTCCACCGATGGATCCACGCCGCCTTTACCGAGGCGCGCAGAAGCTCGGGCGCCGACCGGGCCTTGCAGTCCGTCACGAGGCACACGACTTGGAGGACCTCCTGGGACCACCAGCCTCCCACCTACAGAGCGAGGACCACTAGCCGGCAGCGCCTCGCGTCCAGGAGCTCCAGGTAGGTGGTCTCCTTGCGACGGCGGGCCCCGCAGAGCCACGCCCTGTCCTCTTCCGTCGGTCTGATTGCCGTCGCACGCGCCAGTAAACTTTGTCTGCGCATTGTCTTTTGTTCTCTTGCCCCTCGCCCTTGGGCACCTGGGCGGCCCGGATAGGGTGCATGCTCGATGTAGTACAACAGGTTGTATGGGATACAGATAGCTTGCCTCTGTGTTTTGCCACTTTCCTGCTGGTGCTTTGTTTCGTTGGCCTCCAGAGCAAGGAGGTAGTGCGTGACAGGTGTGGGGGGCTGAAACAGACGGTGCGCCTGAGGGGAGGGAAGGCACTCCTTGCTCCTGCCTTGGCCCGGGACCTCTCCCCCCCTGTTCGCCCGATTCGCCCGGATTTCTTTTAAACCCCTACGGGAGGGCCGGTGGCGCCGCCCCCCCCCTTGTGATCTCAAGGAAACCTCTTGCCTATCCATTGGGCAGCGCGCTCCGCCGCTTGGCGTGCGAACGTGGGCCGGCAGCTCTCCGAACCTTGGCCTTTTCCCTCTTGGTGCGTGCGTGGTTAGGCCTCGGGGGTTGGCAGTGCTGCTGTCTCCCGCTTCTGTCGTCCAGTGTGGGGATGTTGTGTCCGGTCTGCGGGGCCCTCTCTCTGGCCAATCCCTTTTTGGTCGCCTGCAAAGATAAAGCCTCGTTTCTTGTAGGTGAAGTGTTGCAGTCTCGCTTGCCTGGAGAATGCCCCCTGTTGTATCGAGCGTCGCGTTGTTGTGCCGCCGTGCCGTGCGAGGGTGGCCGCGTCGTAGGCGGCGGCCGCCGCCGTCGTCGCCGCTGGCGCGTTGGTCCGCAAGCAGTGCGTGAGCTTCCCCGTGCCGCAGTGGCGGAGCTGCAGCGCTACGGTCTGGGCAGCTGCCAGGTGCGGCGAGGCGTGCGTGGGCAGGTGTGCCAGCTTCCCCAGGAGCGCCGCGGCTCGCGGCGCAAGGTGCAGCTGCGGAAGCCGCCAGAGCCGAGGTCGCCCGTCGCTCTCGTCCGGCAGGTCGTGTTCGGGCAGCGCCGCGCCGAGCGGCACCCCAACGAGCGTCAGCCCGTCCGCGCACCATAGCCCCTCCAGGCCCGGTGGACACGGCGAGCTCGAGGACCAGGCTTGGGTCTTGTGCGGCTGCAAATCGAGGCCGAGGGAGGAGAAGACGTCCTGCGCGGCGGGCAGCAAGGCCCCCGCGAGTTCCGGCAGCGCCAGCACCACGACGCCGTCTAAGTACGCCTAGACCCGGATGTCGTCCGGGCGCAGACCCTGGGCCACCGCGGCAGCGCGCAGCCTGTCCTCCAGGGCGCGGAGGCGCGGCCGAATCCCACATGCGAAAACGAGACTCGAATCCCCGGAGGCCTGCGCCGCGGGGGGCGCAGCGGCCGCGGGGGGCAGCGGCCGCGGGCTTCCGTAGCTGCGCCAGTGACGCGCCACGCACACACACGCACACAAACGACACCGATCCAGCACCAACAAGGCTTTAACGGTGCATATTCCCCAGCCCAGCCCAAGGCCTGCACCCGGGGCGGGTGGGTGGGTTCAACGACCTGGGGGTGGGACCCTGACCCTGATGCTTTCCCGAACCCTGCGGTTCGAACCCAAAACTTGCGGCAACGAGGAATGCATGCACAAGGCAAGCAACGCAATGACCTGCGAATGCGTGAACAATGCAAGCAGCGCCAACTGCTAGAACACGAGAATGCATGCACGTGACATGTGAACAGCACAACAACGTGAGAATGCATGCAGAAGCCCCTCGTGACTCTCCCTACATTTTCCGGGCCGTACGAAGCAAGCATCGCCGTCTGCAGAAAACGAGACTCGAATCCCCGGGGGCAACCGATGCGTCCAACGCAGCTGCTGTAAGTATTTGCTCAAGGTGGCTCCACAAGGTACGAACATGGCAAACCGGCGGGCGCTTTCGGTCGTAACCGGGAAGTGTGGCAGGCTGAACGAATCGCAGAATTCACCCCAGGCGTACAACGCACTGCGCAACGACCTCCAAGACCCCCGAATGGTCTCCAACGCAGCGCGCCTGGACCCCTCCTGGAGGAGCGCGTTCTGCACTACCGTAGCAGACGCGCCCTGCTGGGCAGCCCTGAGACCCGCCAGGCGCCGGCGGGGTGTACCTTCGCACGGGAACGCGGACCGGAAACGTTCGTTGAAAGTCTCCCTGTGGAGAGCGGCGCACCGCGTGGGTTCCTCACACAGATCGCCGACCGCGTACGCGACGTCGTAAGCCGTGGACTGCTGTGACACAACTTGCAGCCATGTCTGCCCGAGCCCGGGCCGCGGTCGCAAAGCAGACTCTAATGCCGCTTGCTTTGGCCCGCTGGCGTGGTCGACCCCCTCGGGGGCAGACCGCCGAACAACTGGCTGTCCTGCAGCGCGCGGCACGGCAATCGCCTCCGTGCGCCGGACAGCAGCGCGTTCCCCCCGTGCGGGGGGCAGCCGCGGCCCTCTGGGGCTGCGACCCCTCCGGGTCGCCAGGCCTACGGGCGCTGGCGGGGCCCTCCGGGGGGCTGCGGCTGCGGGGCGGTCGGCTCGCAGCCCCACAAGGCATATGGGGCGCAGCGCCCCCGCCATGACGGACCGGGGGGGGGCCCGGCGGCCCGCGCGACGCCGACCCTCCCGCGACGCTGTTTGACCCGGCGGCGTTCGGCCAGCTGGCACGCGAGTGCATTAGATTGGGCAATGCGGCGCACAGACGCACGCGCGCGCACCACACCAACACACGCACAACACACAACACACAACACACACACACACACCACACAACACAACACACAACACACAACACACAACACACAACACACAACACACAACACACAACACACAACACACAACACACAACACACAACACACAACACACAACACACACACACACAACACACAACACACAACACACACACACACAACACACAAACACACACACACACAACACACAACACACAACACACACACACACACACACACACACACACACACACACACACACACACACACACACACACACACACACACACACACACACACACACACACACACACACACACACACACACACACACACACAACGACAAGCACGCACGCAGACAAACACGAACGCACCCCGCCAACAGACCCGCCCCCGCCAGGCAATCGTTCGTCCCGCACTCAAGTGCACGGCGGAGTCCGGGTCTTGCTCACATGTGCGCAGGAAAGGCCATGCACAATCTCGACTCCACGGGGACGGGAAGGGGCGGGGAGCGGAGGGGGGACCAGGAAGAGGAAGGGGAGGGGGAGGGGAGGGGGAGGGGGGACAGAGGAGGGAGGGGGGGGCGGGAGAGGGGCGGGACAGAGGCAGCGAAGAAACAACAGGATGGCAAGGCCATGGTTTTACTCAACGAGCGCTCCGGCAAGCGTGGGCAACTTCAGCGCCCTCCGTTTGTGGTTCTGCCACGGGCCTACCGTGCCCCGGCTCAAGCAGTCGGCGGGGTTGCTCGCCGACGGCACCCACCGGCACTCGATGGAGGCCTGCGCCTGGGCAACGGACAGCCATGCCGCGCCGGCAATTGCGTTGAAATCTGGTTGTCTCGACCAACCTGACAACATGACGTCCTTAGCAGCAGTATTGTCGATAAAAACCAAGATCCGCTTGACTGCGAGCTGCGCCTTCCACGTGTTCAGTGCTGCTACCAACGCCAACAACTCAAAAGCATTGATTTGAGTGGCCCTCTTGCGCAAAATGCGCCTCCAGGATCGCGGCACTGCGCTCATGGCCCATTCTCTCGTGCAGCCGGCTTTAAAGATCACCGCTGCCTCGACGCCTCCGCTCCCTTCGGCGTCTGTGTAAACTAAAACAACGAAGGGGGCCGGTTCGAGCTCCCTCACGGTGACCGCGCTGTCCGGATTCAGAGAAAACAGACGGATCCACCAGCGCAGGCATGCGCGTAACCGGCTTGTAAGAGCCCAGCATCCGCCGCGGGCGGCGCGCCAGAAAAAAGGACGCACGCAGGACCTCCCAACGCGACCGAAAGAACGCTGACACGCGAACGCCAACCTTCCTGCAAATTTCGACGCCAGTGCCGGGGACAATGATTTTGAACGCAGCACATAAGCCACCTCGCGCTGCCACGCGACAACTTTCTCGCGGCCGAGGTGCCAATGCACCCCCTGCGGGGCCACGGAAACCTCGCACCCAAGCAAAGAAATCGACCGCGACATCCCTTCGGATTTGTCGAGGTCCAACTCCCACCCAAGCAGGGCGACCATCTCCTGAAAGATTGCTTTGGCTCGGGGGCCGCACGCTTCGACGTCGGCGAGAAACGCGTCGTCGACATACAAAAAAAAAAAAAAAAAAAAAAAAACTAACCGAAATGCACTTTACAGCTTGGGCGCAGCGCCACCACGCGTAAACACCACAAACTGCCCAGAAGGGCTGCGTGCGCATTTCCGACACTTTCCATTCTTGGCTGTCTGTGTCGTACACCAAGCACCACCTGAGCCACGATTTGTGGAAATCTGGACACACAGTTTTGAAAGCTGACACGAAATCTTCTTTTCCAAGGCAAACTTCCGCGCCACTCTGTCGCAACAAGGAAAGCACCGCGTGCGTGAGGTGATCGTGAGTATCGTTCCAGACCCGTTCGTGCATTGACGCACAAGAATTTACTTCGTTCTTCTGAAAATTATCGATGACCCGAACCTTTAACCGGCCACCCCTGATTTCAGAGACGCCAAAACGTTCGACCAAAAGTATCTCACCCAGGTTTACGTCCTGGAGAGCGAGCGGAGGGCCGACCTTGCCCGCCCACATCTCAGATTTACGTTTTGCCCACACTTCGGCCGCGAGTGGGCCCGGCACTGCCTGGGCGAGCGTTCGCATGTTTATCTCCTGGAATTGGGCGCGCAGATGTTCAAGATCTGGCACGCCGTTGAAAGCCTCCCGACCCCCCGACCAAACCGGCACGCCTGTGGGCCTGCCCAACCCACCTGCGTGCAAGAGCCCAGAGACTGGGAACCCTTGGGTCAAATCGCGGATGAAATTCGCATCTTCGCGCCCTGCGGCAATCACAATGTCCTCCAACAGTGGCACGTGGACTCTTCCTAGGTTGGGCTGGTACTGCGTTGGCACGCTGTCCTGAAACCGCCGCTGGGCAGGCTCCAAATCGGCAGCCCGCTCACGCCAGAATTCCAACTCTTGCTCTCGGCGGGACGCCACTACGGCAGCGTTGTCCGCTATTGCACAGATGTTTCGACGAACGTCCGGGCAAAGAGGGGGAACTTTGTGCAAGCACGACGTGGAGGCGCAAAACCGTAATATGTGTTGCTCTGGGCTGAGCAGACCGCCCTGCGGCGACGCCCCGTTGGCTGACGGTTCAACGCGTTCTTCCAGGCGCTGGCGGGCAGAGCCACAAGGCACTTGCGAAGAAAGAACAGATGCGCCCTGCGACGCTTGACCTGGTAAGCGAGCCCTGCAGCCCGGTTTGCAAATTGCACAAAATTCTGAAATACCAAGCCCCTGCGGGCACGATTGCTGTCGAGGGCCAGAGGTGGGGGCAAGAGGAGGGCGGACAGGGGGAGGCAGGCAGGGGGAGAGGGGGGCAAGAGGAGGAGAAACAATCGGCAAAGGCTCCTGCCTTCGGCGCGGCGCAGCAGCCTCGCTGGAAGGAAGCAGTTGGCTATCCGCCGTCTTCTGCACTTTGCGCAGCACTCGGGCGTCATCCGCAAACGGCTTGCCCCGCGGGGCCAAAGCGTCCTGCGACGCTCGTGCTCTAATGCTGCTTCAGGCGGCGCCCCTGCGGGCGCCCTTCGAGACCGCTGCCGGGGAGGGCGGGCGCGGCGGAAGCGGTGGCTTCGTCGCCGCGGACCGGGGAGCGCCCTGCCAGTCCTGCGTGCCGCCCTTGCCGTCGCGGTACCCTTTGCCCGCGGAGCGCTCCCACTGCTGGGCCACCCCAGCAGAGAGGAAGCCTCTGCAGGCCACTTCTGCCTCGACAACCCAGTCGCGCACCTCGGCTTCGGTGTGCGCGTGGACCCTGGCGACGATCTCGTTCGGGTCGGCGCTCTTGCCCCGGTCCTCGATCCGGGTGGCTAGCTGCTGCCACTCCCTTCGGTCGAACTCGTAGGCCGCGCCGACGTTGGACTCCTGCGCGAGGTGGCAAAGATCAAGGAACCTGCGGAGCGGGCGCTCGAAGGACAAGCTTTCTGACCCGACCTCAGCTTGAAGAACAAGCTGCGTGAGGCCCCTGCTCCACCAACACGACGCCCATGCGCGAAAGAGGCATACTCCTGCCCCTTCTCCACCTTCCAGAGCGTACTGTCGACCGAGCGGCGGAAAGGCTCGAACTCCTTCTCGAGCTCGCCGGCGACCCACGGCAAGCGGCCGTGGTCCGCTTTCTGGCGAGCCCTCCGCAGCAAGGGCTGCAGGGCGGCGGCCTTCGGGAAGTTCTCCAAAGGGAGGCCCTCCAACCCGTACGCCTGCAGCGCCTTGCAAACATCGATGGACGACGTCTTGCGGTCCTCTGTGTCTGAGGAGGACGGGGACCTGCCGCGTCGCCCTGCGCCGGCGCGCGCGCGCCTCGCCACGGCTTCCATGGCCTTGACCGAGGCGTCGTTGAAGGCGGAACCCGCTGGGGCCAGAGGCGGTTCAGCTGGCTGGCCCGGCGCTGCTTCCGCTTGAAGCCTCCGTAGGACTTCGCACACTAAAATGTATGCGGTGTGGCCTGCGTCATGCGTCAACGGGTCCTTGCACAGCTCCCTGGCGAGGTCCGGGGTGCGGTGCCGAAGTTGCCAGGCCGCCCGCACTCCAAGGTCTTCCGGTAAACCGGCCACACGGCACACCTCTTCGTCCGAGACCCCTGCGGGGCTGAGGCGCCGCATCAAGTCCTCTGCGGACTCGGCGTCTCGTCGTGAAAAAAGGGTCCTTGCCTCTCGGGCTGGGGCCGACGACGCCTCTGCAGGCCCGCCACCTCTCTCGTCGTCTCCATCGACCCTGCGGCCCAAAGGTGGAGCCAAACGATCCTGCGAGCGGTGGCGGCCGCGCTCCTGCGAGCGCTGGGGCGGCGGCCGCAGGTCGGCGCGGGGGCGGCGGCGGTAGCGGGAGCGGGAGCGCTCCCGCGGGCTGCCGCTGCGGCGGAGCGGCGGCCTGGCTGCCGCCGGGGGGAGGTCCCAAAGTTCAAGGACCAGGGTGCGGAACCCTGACCCTGATGCTTTCCCGAACCCTGCGGCTCGAACCCAAAACTTGCAGCGACGAGGGGTGCATCCACAAGGCAAGCAACGCAATGACCTGCGAATGCGTGAACAATGCAAGCAGCGCCAACTGCCACAACACGAGAAGGCATGCACGTGACATGTGAACGACACAACAAGGTGAGAATGCATGCAGAGGCCCCCCGTGACTCTTCCTATGTTTTCCGGGCCGTACGAAGCAAGCATCGCCGTCTGCAGAAAAGCAGCGGTGAGAGCGGGTCTTCCTGGGCCACGCCGTCCGTCGAGTGGAGTCGGTGGCAGACCCCCGCCCAGTCCCAGAAGAAGTACTGGGACTGCCGCCGGCAGAAGAGCTCCACGTAAGACAGAAGCTCCGGTGCTCGCGCAAGCACTCGCCCCGATGGATGAAGCAGAAATCGCTTCCCACCATGACAAGGCTCGGGTTTGTCTCTGTCAGGGCGCGGACAGCGTGGGCGAGGAGCTCCGTGCCGGCGGCCGTGTCGATGGCGCACTGCTGCTCGCCGGGAGCTGCGGCCAAAGCCTCCCTGCGCGGTTGGGCCAGGGCGCGGCCCACGAGGCGTCGCAGGATGTTGGGCGCTGCGATAGGCCGAACGCCGCCGCCTGCCTTGCGCAGCGGCGTTAGCTTCGAGAGGGCCAGCGCCCCCGCCACGCATTGCGGCACCCGGCCTTCTGCGATCCTGTCGCACACCTGGCACAGGACGCCACGCGCTCGCGGCTCTCACAACACCACCCGCCAGTGTTCGAAGCGCCCGCCTCCCACGGCGGCGCCGCTGCCCTTGGGGCTGTTGCGGAGGGCGCGCTTGCGGTGCCTTCAAGAGCGCCTCGCCGGGAGGCGGCCGCGCCGCCGCTGGTTGCAGCAGGGCCTGTAGTTGCTCGGCGCTCTCGGGAGTCTGCGGCGCAAGGCCGGGGCTGCAGAGCAAGGCGGCCGCTCGAGAACACTCCTCCGCCATGGCCTTCCGCACGACCGCGTCGGCGAGACCGCGTCGGCGAGGAGATGCTCGTCTTGCGGCCCCGCTCCGCCCTCGCGCCGGCTCTTGGCGAGGTCTCCAGCCGCCCGCCGCGCGCCCGCCAGCAGCTCCGCCAAGTCGCCGAGCTGCAGGGCGGAGCAGCGCTGCCGCACCAATTGCGCCCAGTCGGCCACCGTGGCCCTGTGTTGGCGCTGGCCTCGACGCGTGCGAAGAGGCGCTGCAAAGAGTAATCGCCCCCGCAGCAGTCAAAGCTTCCACGCCCGGCACGGCAGATCTCGTCTGTAGCCTTGGCTGCGGCTGCTCGTGCGCCAGTCGGGACGAATCGAAGCGTCGGGCAATCGACTGCAAATTCTTCCACCAAGTCGATCGTGTCCAAGCCGGCCCAGCCGGCGGCCGAAAGGTGGCGAAGCGCGTCTGACGCGCCGCCCAGTGCCGCGACCGCGGCCGCAGCAGGACCAGCAGGCGCGGCAGGCGCAGCAGCGGGCGGCGCTGCCGGCGGCGCCGCGTCCAGCCCTGCTGCTCCGAAGTCTGGAAGCGGCTGCCTCGGCGGCGCTGCCGCCTGCCTTGCTGCTCTTCGTACTGCCAGAGCCAGGGGGGCAGCGGAGGGCTGTCCAGGGAGGGCCGCGCCGGCGGCGGGCGCGCCTGCGGGCGCTGGGCTGCCGGCCCGCGCCGCCGCTGGGCTGCCGGCCAGCGCCGCCGCGGCCCCAGCAGGTGGGCCAGCCGCTCCAGCAGCGCCTAGGCCAACGTTGCGCATATTGAAGATCCGGTGCCAACGTTGCGCAGACAGTCGCATCTCGATGGGCATCCTTCCCTTTGCCCTGGCACCGACTTGTATCTCAAGTTCGCGTGCGTTTCGAAATTCTAAAACGCTTCGCGTATCCCCACCAGCCCGTCCAGAAATGAGCCCCAGGGGAGTGGAGAAGCGGGGGGGCAAGCAAAGAACCAGGGGCGGGGTAAACCGCCATATACCCCTCAGAGGGGAAGCATGTAGGAGTCGTCGTCGGAATAGGTGGGGGGAGAGGAGCAGGAGGAAAAGCAGGAGGAGGGGGAGGAGGAGGAGGAGGAGGAGGAGGAGGAGGAGGAGGAGGAGGAGGAGGAGGAGGAGAGGAGGAGGAGGAGGAGGAGGAGGAGGACGAGGGGAGGAGGGAGGAGGAGGAGGAGGGAGGAGGAGGATATGACGAGGAGGAGCAGAGGAGAGGAGGAGGAGGAGGAGGAGGAGGAGGAGGAGGCGGAGAGGAGGAGGAGGGAAGGAGGAGGAGGAGGAGGAGAGAGGAGCAGGAGGAGAAGGAGGAGCAGGAGGAGGAGGAGGCGAGGAGGAGGAGGAGGAGGACGAGGAGGAGGAGGAGGAGGAGGAGGAGGGAGGAGGAGGAGAGGAGGAGAAAGCGGAAGAGGAGGAGGAGGAGGAAACGGGACGAGGAGGAGCAGAAAGAGGATGAGGAGAGGAAAGCGGAGGAGGAGGAGGAGGAGGAGGAGGAGGAGGATGGAGGAGGAGCAGGCAGCAGACAGCACGAGAGGAGCAGGAGGAGCAGGAGGACAAGAAGGAGAAAAAGGAGGAAGGAGGAGGAGACGAGGAGGAGAGGAGGAGGGGGAGCAAGAGAAGCAAGAGAAGCAAGAGGAGGAGGAGGAGGAGGAGGAGGAGGAGAGGAGGAGGAGGAGGAGGAGACGCGGAGGAGGAGGGGAGGAGGAGGAGGAGGAGGAGGAGGAGGAGGAGGAGGAGGAGGAGGAGGAGGAGGAGGGAGGAGGAGGAGGAGGACGACGACGAGGACGAGGACGGGGAGGAGGAGCAGGAGGAGGAGGAGGAGGAGGAGGCGACGGCGGCGGCGGCGGCGACGACAACGGCGACGACGACGACGACGAACAAAAACTCACCTTCACCGCGCGGGCAGCCGTGCCCTCACTCCATCCAAATACAAGTCGCATTGCTCCCATATACAAATATAGACATACATACATAAAAACAAACATACATACATACATACCTACCTACCTACCTACATACATACATGCATACATACATACATACATACATACCTGCATACCTACATACATACATACATACATACATACATACATACATACATACATACGTACATACATACATACATACATACATACATACATACAAATATACATACAGGCATACATACATACACACATGCATACATATATACACACCTGCCTACATACCTACCTACCTACCTACCTACCTACCTGCCTATCTATCTACCTACCAACCTACATACCAACCCGCCTGTCTATATACATACATGCATGCATGCATGCATGCATACATACATACATACATGCATACATACATACGTGCATACATACATACATACATACATACATACATGCATGCATGCATAACATACATACATACATACATACATACATACATACATGTATACATACATACATACATACATACATACATACATACATACATACAGACATACTTACATACATACATGCATGCATGCGTGCGTGCGTGCGTGCATGCATGCATGCATGCATGCACACATACATACATAGATACATGCATACATACATACATACACACATACACACATACATACATACATACATGCATGCATGCATACATGCATACATACATACATATATACATACATACGTACGTACGTACGTGCGTACGTACGTACGTACATACAAATTAACATACATACATACATACATACATGCATACATCGATACATACATACATACATACATACATACATACATACATACATACATACATGCATACATGCATACATGCATACATGCATACATGCATACAGGCATACACGCATACATACATACATACATACATACATACATACATACATACAGACAGACAGACAGACAGACAGACAGACAGACAGACAGACAGACAGACATGCATGCATATTCTTATATATATCTATATATATATACACACACACATCGCGTCCACCCAGCGACGTCTCCAGCTCTGGGGTTGCGCCCGCTCTGCGCTCGCTTTGCTTTGCCGACACCCCTCACTGGCCCCGCGCCACATTGCGAAATATCAAACCCACACGCCGGCAACAATTGCGGACACTTGCACACCAAAAAACCCCGGCCGAGAAAGAAACTCCCACCTGAGAAACAACCATCCCACTAACATTCATACCGAGAACTCTCTTGCAAACAACTCACGACCACGCTTTCGCAACGCGTACACACCCACAGGTTCCGACACGTACACGGTCGAGAACCACCGCACACAGGAAATTATCCTGGCGTTGGACCCAACCATATGCAGTTGTGGGTACCGCAATTGTGAATGTCTTTTTCGGCGAAAGCTCCCTATGGGGCCACGAAGCGCTGCACTGGGTGGGGGGGACGCATGCGGGCGGTAGCACTGGGGCCGTCGGTGGAGGTCCCTATAGGGCCACGAAGCGCTGTACTGGGTGAGGGCATTTACCTACTTGGGTGTGTGTGTGTGTGTGACGCATGCGGGCGGTCCCCCTGGGGGGTTCGGCGGAACCCTATGGAGCCACGAGGCGCTGCACTTGCTGGGGGGGGGCGCATGCGGGCGGTCCCACTGGGGACTTCGGTGGAGCTCCCTAATTATGGGGCCACGAAGCGTGTAAAAGGCATGCGGGCGGTCCCACTGGGGGTTTTGGTGGAGCTCCCTACGGGGCCACGAAACGTTGTAATTGGTGGTGA